CTCCAACATGGCCTCAGCTTACCCAGAAGCTGATGGAGTTGAGGTGTTGTTTGGTGTTAATCGATGGCCAAGCTGGGTCCCAAGACATTACATCTGTGTGCCGATGAAGCACTGCCTTCACCGAGGACCTACTATCTGCCAACTATATATGACGTCCTTTACATATATTGTCATGTTTTGCCCTTACTGTAATCTAGGAGGTAGATGCTATTACTAACTTGAGAAACAGGTGAGAAAAATGTGGCTAGGAGGGTAAAGTGTGGGGCCCAAGATCGTACAGCTGAGGTGCCTGGAGCGGCCTGTTGGTCTCTACATCCAGTAGTCCTGATATCCATTATCAATCAGCCACATTAGTGCCCTGAGGATGAAGGATCTGTCCTCTGTCTGCAGAGGATTTGTGCAGGGCTGTGAGACTGGGAGAGAGGCGGAGCATTACCTCTGTTCCTTTAACTTGCCAAAGTATGACACTACCTTTCAGCAATTCCAGCCTTGGCTCCTGTGGCTTTACCTTGAACCTTCCTCTTAATTTTGTAAGACTCACGGTGTTCCTTCCCCTTCTGTGGTGGTTGATTTCCTTGTCCAGGAAGTGCCATATCTCCAGACAGCCACTATAGTAGGGAATATTATGGGTAAGGTGCCCAGGACAGCCCTAACAGAGCTCCTTCCTGACCTCCCCACAACAGGACTAAAGGCTGTGGAGAATGCCAAAGCTGGTCCTCCCAAGGTGGCACTTGGGGCAGGTTTCTCACTGATGAAACAACCTGCACCCTGGTGAAACTAGGGCAGGTGACTGCTCTGCCAAGGCAAAGGTGCTAGGAGAGGGCAAGAAGCAGGTTACTGTCTTGAGGCAATGCCTTTATGGAGCAGTTGTTCTCAGCTGCACATCAGAGATCTTTACAATGTCCAGACATTTAAGATTGTCACCACTCCACTGGAGGGATGAGGGAGGCACAGGACAGTTTCCCAACCAAGAATCCCAACCCACACCATCAGTAGCATTAAGTCTAGGAAATCTTGTTCTAGAGTGACTCTTAGTCACCCGCATCCTCCCTCAGCCTGGCTGGCTTCTGGATGGAGAACCATTTAGCTTCAAGGAGATGTGCACACAATAAAGGGAGGGGACAGGTGGAGTAGGACAACTGGATTATATGGTTCTTTATTTTGATTGAGAGTCTCTGTGTAGCCCTGGTTGTCCTAGAACTGTATAGACTAGGCTGGCCTCGAACTCAGAGATCCGCCTGCCTCTGCCTCCAGAGTGCTGGGATTAAAGGTGTGAGCCATTGTGCCTGGTTCTAAGGTCCTTTCATCAGTCAAGCTGTATTACTATTTTGTTTTAAAAGTTCCAATGACTTTTAATGGCTGTTATAAGATGCAGTTTCTTTCCCACAGCCCCAGTACAACCATCAGCCTGCTCCTTCCCCTGTTCACGCCTCAGTGTTCTGTTTATCTATGTACTTATGCTGGGGACGGAGCCCGGGCCTTATGCTGGCTGAGAACTATCTACCACTGAGCTATCCCCCCAGTTCCTCCGATGTTTTGTTTTGTTAATTTATTCTTTTAATGTACACAGTGGGTGTTTTCATGTGTATATGTCTATGTACCAAGTGTGTGCCTGGCCAAAAGCTCACTGTGTGAGCAAGGCTGGCCCTGAACTTCTCTTTCTTCTTCTCCTGTACAGCAAGTTCATGCTGGGGACTGAATCCAGGACTCTGTGCATAAACTCTACCAACTGTACTATATCCCTAGACTGCTACATTTTCATTTCATTTTAAAAACTACTTTATTCCATGTCTCTCTAACAAGAGCACAAGCTCCGGGAGGACAGGGCCCTGGCTCGCTACACCACAGCACATAGGCCGTTGGGTGGCAGGTGCTGAGTAGTGAGGCTTTGATTGCTGGGAACCCCTGTTCCTCCCACTAGCTGCCTTGCCTGGTGCTGGAGAGTACCGGACTGGCCACAGCACAGTGGTTCAGTGCGTACGCTGGGGTGGAACACTGCCCTGGGTCATTCTGGGTATAAAGTTACCAAGTTGTTTCACTGTTCCATGTCTGAGTCCTCATCTCTTGCAAGAGGGTGACAATAGAACACACTAGACAGGGTCACTAGCAGGATCTAGCCAGATCATGTACCAGCCTGGCAGTTGGCATGCAGCAGGAGGTTAATAACCACCAGCATTTGGTGCTAGTATTTGGGATGACATTCCCAGCCCATTTGTCCATCCCATAGAAAAAAATGCAAAGCCTGAAAAGCACCTCTGCCTTAGTTGGCAGCTTTGGCATCCTCTTGTCCTAGCCTATATCCTCCCATGTCATTCCTCTGTCCTTGTTGATAAGTGCTGGATGCACAGAGGCTGGAAACTCACATTCACATCCAGGAAGCGAAGATACTCACGGCCCAGAGAACCTTCAGGCAGGCTCTGGAGCTTGCTTAGGTCAAGGGTGGACAGTGAGATCCGGGGACGATCTCTGAAAGACAGATTGTCGGAGGTGGGACTGGGTGTGTGTCAGCCAAGGCTAATGAAAGGGCCACATAAAGGAAGTTGGGGTGGGCATCAGGCCACAGGACATCCATGTAGCCACACAAGCCCTTGTGGAACACTGTAGTATTAGGGACTGTGGAGCCCATCACAAACCAGGGCTGAGCTGGTGCCTTCAAAGGCATGATCTAGCCAGAGAAGAAGGACACAGATGTGCCGCTGCAGGGAGGTGACAGTGAGCGCACATTTGGAGAGGAACAGCTGGCTACTGAGAGCCTAATGCAAGCAGTCTTGTGGCTGGCACTAGACTAAGACAATGTATTGTACAACCCAGGAGATCCATTCCACATGTGTGTGTTCCTGGTACTGAGCAGGGCCCCATGCACTACTGGGCAGTGCATCCATTCATGGTCCTCTGAAGATGAGGACTGACATACCCCTACCAAACGTCAAGACAAAGTTAGGACCTACCGTAAGATCTGGGCACCCTCTGGATCCTTCTTCATCTGGTCCCTGAGGAATTTCAAGGTGTAGCATCCTGTGGTCTCTCCCAGAACTGCAACCATGTCTAAAAGGTCAGAAATGGGCAGATGGAGGATGGAATCCTTTTGTTTGTTTTTTGTTTTTGAGACTGTCTTTGTAGTACAGGCTGTCCTGGAACTCAGTAATGTAGAACTGGAACTCAGGCTTGCTTCAAACTCACAGAGATCTTCCTACCTCCACTACCCAAGTGCAAGATTAAAGACGTAAACCACCAGGACAGCAAGTTCCTCCTTTTCCTCCTCCTCCTCCTCCTCCTCCTCTTCTTCTTCTTCCCTTTTGTCTTGTTTTTTGTTTTTGAGGCAGGGTCTCTCTACATACGTAGACTTGGCTGTCCTGGAACTCACTTTGTAGACCAGGCTGTAGCTATTATTCTTAACATTACTAATCTGTTGGAATATGGAATCAACAGAATATATGAACTATTTTCATATCCCATTATTGAAACAGAGTATTAGGTTTCTACTGATTAGTACCAGCCCTGAGATTAAATGCTGATGAAAGGCTGATGTATCTGTGCTGACAGAGGGCTTGCTTAGCTCACTTGAAGCCCTGAGTTTGATTCTTAGATCCACATAAGCTGGGCATGGTGGCACACACTTGTCAACCAGCATTCAAGGGAGACAGGAAATCAGGAATTCAAAGTCATCCTTGATAGAAACAAGAAGCAAGCTCAGTGTACACGAGACTTTGTCTCACCAAAACAACAACAACAACAATGGTGCTAGATTTGAGTCCGGGTGCAGTCACTAGATAAGGGATCCTATATAAACCACTTCATGTCTTCTCCTCTTCCTCCCATCTTTTCTTTCTTTGAACAAACACTAGCCGAGTACTGAATAAGAAGCCAGTCTTGAACTGATTCAGCAAAGAAAATCCTGATCTTTGATCTTAGTAAGTTTACTACTCAAGAGAATGTTGTAATATGGTGTGTACACGTAAGTCATTCAGTCCAGAGATTAATATGCTTGGCTGACACACTCTCCTAAGAATTACAGAAAGTCAGGGCTGTAGATGTCACACTTCCTTCCTCCTCTCCTCGCTCTGCCCAGCAGACCCACAACAGTGATTTTGGCTAGAACTTGGCACCTGATTATCATAAGCGTTCCTGGGGACTAAGAGCCAGACGCAGCCAGGTTTGGGTACCCGCGACTGCCTGACTCTCCGGTTACATAAAACCAAGGCTTTGACAGAGGTCATGACAAGCCCGAGCTTTCAAGGGCGGGGAGCGAACGACCTTACCGTGGCGATAGGGGTTGTAAAGCGCCATTCCGGCCGAGCCCGCGGCCAGCAGCATCTTTTGCAGCGGGGTGGTGGGGATGTGGTCTGGGTACAGCAGCCGGGCGCCATGGCTTCCGGCCCTGAGGGGCACATCTGCGTGGCAGGAGAGGGGTAAAGGTGAGAGAAGCCGGGTTCCTCCAGTCGCCGCGCACACCGGGGTAGCTGCTCACCTACAACAGGCCGCGAACTGTGTTGGAGACTACGGCGGAAGCACAGGGAGCGAAGCAGCAGGGTCGCCATGGCAGCGGATGTCCGCGGTGGGTGGGCGGGGCTCCACTGGCACGACGGAAGCCGGAGAAGTCTAAGTCGACTCCATGGGAACTGTCCTCATTGTGGCCTTTTGAACGGAAATGTAATATGGACAGGCCCAGAAGGAAAGCCACAAGATGTTTGCCACTGTCGTAAGCCAGCGTTACTGATAGCGTTTGTCCGTCAATCCAGCACATGAAAGTTGGAAAGATCAGTTCAAAATCCTTTTTTGGCTATTTAGTAAATTCGAAGCCAGCCTGGGCTACTTGAGACCTTGTCTCAAAAACCAAGCTCAGTGTGAATTAACCCTGTCACTCCAGCACTTGGGAAGTGGAGACAGGAAAATCGGGAATTTTCAGCAACACAGCAAGTTTGAGGAAAGCCTGGGATATATGGGAAATAAACAAAAACTCCTGAAAGGGATTCCAAAAAGAACTTTACCGAGCGCTATGTTGTTCAACATTCGGCCCTATTTCCTTCTCCACCTCATATTTTCCACCGGAGGACAATAAGATGTGACCCTCTTCCGGCTTAGGAAAGATGGCGGCACCCCACAGTAGGGACTCCATTTGGGACAGGACCATACGGCACTTCCGTTTGCATCTCCGTTTCGGAATGATAAAGTACTGCTGAATTCCAGCCATGAGGTCTTCTGGCATGAAGCAACTACAGGGCCTCTTCGCGGTCTATAAACCTCCGGGGCTGAAATGGCTGCACGTGCGTGAGACCGTGGAGCTGCAGCTGCTGAAAGGTGAGTGCTTCAACGCGGACCCACGGTTCTGCAGAGTCCGACGCCGTTTGGGATCCTTCCCGCAGAATAAAACCACGTGATCCATTGGCCTGGTTTTAGCCATTTCCTGGTTTTCTCTTGTGTACATTTCATTACTCCCCACTTTCTGCTATTTTCTGTTAGAGAAATGCATTCGTAGTAAGGATTTTCGCACGGTTACCATTGTAGAGTTAGAATTTAAACTACTTTTTTCTTGGATTTCTCGTGTAATTAATTAATTAATCCGGCCTTGAAATCAATAAGACCTTGAGAATTGTGAAGCGCCTGTCTCCACCTGCCAAATGCTGAGATCATAGGCATGCACCACTACACAGAGCTTCAAATGCCATTTTTTTTTCTTTCTCTTTTTTCTTTTCTTTTGGTTTTAAAAAGAACTCTTCGTGGGGGCTGGAGAGATGGCTCACCGGTTAAGAGCACCGGCTGCTCTTCCAGAGGACCTGGGTTTGATTCCCAGCACCCACATGGCAGCTCACAGCTGTCTGCAACAACAGTTCCAGGAGATCGATGCTTTCTTCTGGCTTCTGTGGGCACAGATATACATGCAGACAAAACCCTTATAAAAATAAAAATTAAAAAAAAAAAAAAAAAAACTCTTCGTGTACCCTCAAATTTCCTTTGTAAGCTAAAGATGTCCTTGAACTTTTGATCCTCCTGCCTTCACTTCCCAGGGGCCTAAATCACATCTGTATACCACCACTTTTCATTAATGGGTGCTGGGGATGGAAACCCAGGGCATCTTTTATATTGTGCAAACAGTCCAACAACTTAGCTACATTTCCAGCCTAGTCTTTCTTATGGACATGTGTAGAGGTTTTTTGGGGTTTTTTTTGTTTGTTTGTTTTTGGTTTTTCGAGGTAAGGTTTCTCTGTGTAGCCCTGGCTGTCCTGGAACTCTCTGTAGTCCAGGTTGGCCTTGGATTTAGAGATCTGCCTGCCTCTGCCTCCCATATTGCTGGGGTTAAAGATGTGTGCTAGCACACTTGGTTTCTTAAGGACTCTTATTCTGTTTTCTACAATACACAACTCTATCTTCTTACTATCATTATTCTCTGCCTTCTTCCAGGTGTTGGGAAAGTATTGACAGTCCTTTCCTTTTGTGTTTAGGTCTCAATGCAGAGAAGCCTCCTGCTCCTGAACAGCGTGTTCGCTTCTTGCTAGGCCCTGTGGAAGGCAGCGAAGAGAAGAAGCTGACTCTCACCGCCACCAGTGTGCCCACCCTCACCACCCATAGACTCGGTGAGTCAGGCAGGGTACTGGCTGTCATATCATCGGAAATCCCTGGCTGAGTTAGATTTCTAGCCCAGGGATTGGCAAACATCCCCTAGAGGGGTATAATTTTAAGCATTTTAGGCCTTACTGGGCATGTGGTTTCCTCAGCACTGTTCTCACCTTTGCCGTTGTAGTGCAGAGCGTCTCTAGACAGAATAGGAAGAAGGCGTCTTCTCATACTCCAGTCGCTACTGGAGTGCAGAGCAGCTATTGAAAGCAGTTGTACACACATGTACAACTTGTGTCTTCTGTGGGGGTCTGAAGCAGAAGGATCGTTGAGACTCAGGAGTTCCCAGCCAACACAGTGAGGCCCATCACAAAACAAAAGTAGACTTGATGGTTTGGTCTATGGATTGTAGTTTGTTGACTTAACTATTCTAAGGACTCTAAATGGAAATTGAGCGCCTCAGGTAGACCTGTGTAATTAATTAATTACTCTGTACTAGAAACCATGTTACCTTTTTCCTCACCACAGTTCTGTGAGGTAGGTCCTTTTTTTTTCCCTGGTTTTTCAAGACAGGGTTTCTCTGTGTAGCCTTGGCTGGCCTGGACTCTCTTTGTAGACCAGGCTGGCCTGGAACTCACAGAGATCTGCCTGCCTCTGCCTCCGGAATGCTGGGATTAAAGGCGTGCACCACCACAGCCAGCTAGTAGGTCTTTCTTTTTTTTTTAATGCATGCGTGCACATGTATGCATGCCAAGGTATGCCTGTGAAAATCAATCAGAGGGCATCTTTTGAGAGTCACTTTTCTCAGGCCACAAGGTCCTAGGATCATGACTAGGCAGCAAGTCCCTTTGCCCACTGAACTACCTCACCAGCCCTTGTTTTTGTGTTTTGAGACATGGTCTCCTGTAATCCAGGCTGGTCTTGAACTCACTATATAGTTGAGTACTTTGAAGAAGTACTGATCTTTTTGCATCTGCCTCCCAAGTTCTGGGGCAGTCTTTTAGTAGTTGAAAAACTGAATCTGGGGCCATAGGGCAGTATTGTAGACAGACAGACCTCGGTCCCTCCTTAGGAGCCCAGACTCAGTGGGAGAAGGGCCAGGTTTTCTATCAGCAGACACTGTGCAGAGAACCCCATAAACTTGATGCCTAGTGTAATGTCTGGAACTGAAGCCTCTTGTGGGGAGGATGGTGATAGGCAGTGTAGAAGACTCTTTGGTTGCCCTTTCTCTGGACCCAGGAAACTAGGGAAATAGTCATGGTCCCAGCTTCCATGGAGGAGAAGGCTGGGAATGTAGCTTATCATAATTTGAGCCCCATGAGGGTTTAGGAATTCTAGGTTCTAGGAGTGAGGGCCTCATGCCAAAGCGATCCCCAGGGCTTATTAGTTGAGGAAATGAACTGGCTTTTTCTTTCCAGTACGTGGTCCAGCATTCACAAGCCTGAAGATCGGTGTTGGACACCGCTTGGATGTCCAGGCTTCTGGTGTGCTTGGTAAGTGAAGCACTCAGGCTGGGGATGTCGCTGTGGGCTTAGGGGAGAATCAGGAAATGATCAGGAGCCCAGCCCGTAGCCTGTCAGACCTCACTCTCCCACCACTCCCCTTTTCAGCGATTTCATGTCTCATCGGCTGGGAAGATGATCTGTGCAAGGGAAGGGTCTGCCTCTGTCAAAGGATTCCTGCATGATGTGTGGCTCAAGGCTTTTTCTCGACATTTATTTGCAACACTTGTGGTAGATGCTATATAGTGTAATGAATGAAGAGAGCAGCACTGGAGCTGAGGTGACCCAGCTGGTAAAGGCCCATGGTTCCAGAGGAGCTACCATCAGGTTAGAGTGCAGCCAGGCATGTGGTTCTGTTTCCTTTAGTTAGGGTCTGGATGTTGCCAGAGCTGCATACAAAGCCCCAAGTCACAAGCCATCTGTGGCCATGGGGTCAAAGGACAGCCACAGTGTTCAGCCTCCAGTCTTGGTTCCCTTGCCTTTCTTCCTGAGGTGCAGACAGTCAGACATGATCTCATGTCACCTCCCTGTTTTCTTCTCTAACAGTGAATGGAAAGCTATTCATTTCTTTAGATAGAGGAATAAACAGATCAGGGACTAGGCAGGAAGTGGCTCCATAGGCCGCTGTAAGGGATCATTCCTTTGTGCCATTAGCTTCCTGTGCGTTGCCTCCCTCCGTCTGTGTGGTATACACAGGCCTGAGCAACCTTATCTGTTTTACTAACTCAGAGCTTGAGGGTCAAAGATGTTAAAAGTTGGAATCAGAAAGCCTAGGTACTTGTTTTTGTTTTCTGAGACAGGGTCTCAGTGAGCCCAGCTGCCTTCCAGCTTGTTGTGAATGACCTTAACTCTCGCTCCTCTTCCAACTGCGTGGTGGGCTCGTAAGCATATGTCACCTTGACTTAGAATTTTTGGTTTGGTTTGGTTTGAATTTTCAAGACAGTGTTTCTCTGTGTAGCCCTGGCTGACCTGGAACACACTTCATAAACCAGAACTATGGCCTTGAACACAGAGATCGACCTGCCTCTGCCTCCCAAGTGCTGGGATTAAAAGCGAAAGCCACCAACACCCAGCTGATTTATTTTATTTTTAAAATGTTTGCATTTATATGAGACAAAGTTTGACTACTTGCAAGGCTGGCCTGGAACTCAGCCTCCTAAGGGCTGGGATTACAGGTGTGTGCCACCCTTCCAACCCCAAATGTAATTTGGTGGAGCTGGGACGATGGTCTTTTGCTTTTGAGGGGTTTCAGAACCCTCTGGGAGCTTCCTTGAGCACCCAGGTCTATTACCCACTGTGAGCCAGATGCCATCTTTGCCCAAGCCTTGGAGACCCATGTTGATATCTGCTCTGAGGGGCTTCTTCCCTTGAGGCCACAGCGCTGCTTATTCCCTTCTGGCTACAGCAGCAAGAGAAGAGAGAGTGTTTGGGTGGCAGGGAGCAGCAACGGTAGTTCCCAGGCAAAGGGAAAGGGACTCTGGGTAAAAGAGGGTCTGGCTGCCTTTCAGTGCTCGCCGTGGGACATGGTTGCAGACTCCTCACCGACGTGTATGATGCTCACTTCACCAAGGTATGGTGGTCTAAAGATATGGGAAGAGTGTTTATTCCAGAGGTCACTGACAGGGAAGACTAGTGATCCAGCACTACTCTATTCTGAGCACCACCAGGAGCTGTGTGTGGATCGCCTTAGAGAAGCCCCGTCCCACTTTCTCTCCCATTTTCCTGTTGAGTATATTGAGGCTTAGGAAGAAGGTGCCTAGCCAAGGTCACAAATTTAATGCTTTAGGAACTGAAATTTGAGCTTGGATCTGTCTCATAACACAGTTCGAGCTCAGCACAGTTCTGTTCTCACTGCAAGACAAATTCAGTCACTATTCGGTCCTTGAGATTCCCCCAGGACTGGGCGAGGCCAGAAACTGTGAAGTCTGCTGGGGGAAACTTTAGGTAGCTGTGTCATCAGAACTAAATAGCACAGAATCTGGGAACAGAAGGCTGCAGTTCAAAATCCCAGTTCGGGGCTGTGGTGAGACACTCACCCCATATGCATGAGGCTCTCCATACCCAGCACCAAAAAAAAAAAAAAAAAAAAAGGGAGAGGGAGAGACAGAATCCATGCTCTGCCCCTCTACTAACCAGCCGCACGTCAGTTGTCCTTGTGGATTGCTTAACATCTTTGTGCCTCAGTTTCCTCAAATCAGTGATGGGAATAAGGAGAGCATTCCTTGAGACAGTTTGAGGGGGGAGTTAAAGTGACTTCATGTAAGCCTTCACTCAGTCACTGGCACACAGTACAGGCTGACTCAATGTCACTGCTGTTGCCATCTCTATGCCCTCACTGTCATTACCCTAGGATGAGGCAGTTGTCTGTACAGAGTGAGAGGAAGGGATTTCCTGTGGGCCGCCATCACTTCCTTGACTTGGGCATTGAAACTTAGCCCCATGCAGAGGCCAAGAAGAAGCTGACAGGACATAGGGGTGACACTGTTCAGTTTGGCTGGGCGGTGGAGACTAGTGTTGGCACCATGTCCAGGTCACAGGGAACAGAGCACAGAAAGCTGCCCCCAACCCCAGAGTAGAGCCCATGTGCTCCCTCAGGGCAGGAGGCAGCGGCCATGCTGTGTATGGAGCTCCATGAGGCCCCAGCCAGCATCAGGCTACCACTTCCAATCCTGCCCTGTCCCCACAGGATTACACAGTGCGTGGCCTCCTGGGCAAAGCTACAGACAATTTCTGTGAAGATGGGCGGCTGGTAGAGAAGACAACTTACGGTGAGACCAGAGGCAGGGCGGGAGGGGTAGTTGCCTCAGCCTCCCTTTATTTCCTGACTTTTCCAAGCCACATTGGTGCCTGTTCCATTTTGGCACAGCTAAGCTCAGGCTAGAACTCTGCACTTAACACCTGCCTCCCAGAATACCCTGCACCTGCTTCCTCTCCCGGTTCGGATGTTCCCTCCCCCAGGGAGCCTTCCGTACTTCAGTCTTACATTAGGTGCACCCTGAATGGAAACTAACTGTAAATGATTGCTTAGGGTCTACCTAAGCAGCACCATCCTCATGAGAGATGGACTGTGAGGTTCATCTTGTGGCCACACACACTGCACAGGGCCAAGGACCTGTTGAGGCTCATTAAGTAGCTGTGTAGGTGGATGGATGGAGGATGGTTCGTTTCCTCACTAGCCCTATATTGTAAGACATGCCCTGGGACCTAGTCCATGTGTTCATTTGACAACTAATACTTCTGAGCACCAACAACCAACCAGGCACTGGAGGGATACATGGTCAATGGTGATGAATGTGGTGTCACATGCTTGCTGTTAGCAGCTGGAAGATATGTGGTACAGTAAAGCTTGTCTATTTTTGAAACTCTGTAGCCCAGGCTGTCCTTGAATTCAGAGAGATCCACTTGCCTCTGCCTTTGGCTCTGCAGTTCTGATGTTATCAGCACCACCGCTGTGTCCCACATAGTCTAAACATTTTAAAGAAAGCCAGTTGTAGCCGTTGCCCTTAATCCCAGTGCTCAGAAGGTAGAGGCAGAAGGAGCTCTGAGAGTTAGAAGCCAGCGTGGTCTACAGAGTGAGTTCCAGGACACCCAGGGCTATATAGTGAGACCTTGCTTCTAAAAACTAAGCCAAACTAATAACAACAATAACTTTTCAGGGAGTGCTGAGACAGGGTTTCTCGGTGTAGCCTTGGCTGTCCTGGAGCTCACTCTGTAGACCAGGCTGCCCTCAAACTCTGCCTCCTGAATGCTGGGATTAAAGATGTGTACCACCACTGCCAGGCATAAGAACTTTTTTAAAGGCGATTTAAGTATGTACTGAGGACCAAACTCAGGGCCTTGTGCTTGTTCTGCTATTAAAATCCACCAACTCTTCATATATCAGTTACATAAATAAAAAGTAGAGTTAAAAAGTATATTAGGTGTTAGGAAAGATCCAGGTGCAAAGTGCCCAAGAGGAGAAACTAGGAGAACTGGTGTGGGTGGGAGTGGTGCTTCCTAGAAGAGGAAGAAGCTAGGGATGCTGGGAGGGCTTCCTGGAAGAGGAAGCACTTGATTGAGCTTGTCAGGGGCCAGGGAGAGTGAGAGTGGCAGGTTGATTCTAGGTAGCACAGAGGTTCAGTGCAGATAGGATGGAGACAGCAGCTGCTGAGGCTTCAGCCCTATGCTGCTCCCAAGTCCTGGCACTGCATAGAAGTTGGCATGAATCCCCATGGGCCCCAAGGTCTCAGCTTCCTGGTAGTTGTGAAAGTCTGAGGCTTAGTTGCTCAGTCCCTCAGTGGGTCTCAGTGGGGCAGAGTTGCTCCCTCGTGTGGCTGCTGCCACTAGCATGGACAGCCACAGACCAGGGCAAATATCATTGTGTTTGGCTTTCACTTGTGGAGGAAACTCTTTAGACACTGAATCTTGCTGAGACGAGAGTCCAGTTTTCATCAACCTAAAAAGAACTTTGTGTGTGTCCTGGGTGGACATGTGCACCATGGATTCCATTTGTATGCAAGAGACTGTGGTGGTCCGGAGGATTGAATCCCCTGGAAACTGGAGTTACAGATGGTTGTGAGCCATTATGTGGGTGCTGGGCACAGAATCCCCGTCCTCTGTAAGAGCAGCCAGTACTCTGAACCACTCAGCTGTCTCCCCAGACTATTCATCAACTTTTCTTTTTATCTTATGAGATAGTCTTAACTGTAGCTCTGGCTAGCCTAAAACTCTCTCTGGCCTCTAACTCACAGAGATCTACCTGCTGTGTCTACATCCTGAGTGCTGGGATTAGAGATACATCACCACGTTCGGTCTTGGTTGATTATTTTTATTTTGCTGTGTAGCCCAGGCTAGCCTCCAACTCATCATTCTCCTGCCTCTGACTGTCAGGTGCTGGTATTGTAGGCGTGCCCCAGTTGCCCAACATTATTGAGCCCTTCTAAAGGTCTGCAAACAAACCTAATCTGTAAAAACTCCTCAGTGGACACTGGCCATTTCCAAAATGGGCTGCTTTGGGGTAAAAGATGCTTACTCAGTGGCTGTGGTCTGCCCTCTGGCCACCTGTCAAGTGATACTCACGCCCCTTACCCCATGCCTCTTCCAGACCATGTGACCAGAGAGATGCTGGAACGCATCCTGGCTGTGATCCAAGGCTCCCACCAAAAGGCACTGGTGATGTAAGTAGATCCAAGAGCTCCCTCTGCCCTGATAAGGGGCAGGTGATCTAGAGGAGGAACCTAGGGTCCACACCCCTGAGGCACAGGACTGGAGGTCAGAGCACCTGATGGAATCACCTAGTAGCTGAGAGCTTGGCCAATAGCCCTTTGCCCAGCAGCTTGGGGCCCCTGACTCCCAGGCATAAACCCTTTGGCTCCCAGAAAACTAGCCAGCTGTCTGTAAATGGGATAGACATGCACCTGAGCACAGTGTCCCAGGACAGGAGCACAGCATGGGCAGAGCCTGCAGGATTGCAAGAAATGGCTCAGGGAATAGTGCTCAAAGGATTAGTGGGAGCCAGGCCCCATGCCATGACTGAAATGGCCAGTTGTGCTCAGAAGCCAAGAACCAGGGCTTGGAGTGGAAGGGCTGGGGCAGGAGCAAAGGAAAGCAGGATAAGGCTGGCCAGGGCAGTGGGGACTGGACAGTTCTGAAGCAGCACTGTGGTCTCATGTGGAAAGGCCAGGCAGTGAAAGAGGCAGGCTGTGAGGACTGGGCCCACTAATCTAAGCCTGGAGGCAGCAGGGAAAGCAACCACAGAGGAGAGGGAGAAGTTAGAGAGGATGAAGTGAGAGCAGGAAGGAAGGGACCAGGAGGACACCAGGGTATTTGTTTGGATGGCCCTGGAATGGGGGGCATTGAGGTCCCTTGGGTTGCACACCTCAGGTAAGGGTGAGGGTGGAGCACAGTGTGCAGGGAGGGGGCAGCCTGTAATAGCTGAAGCCAGGGAGTGACAAAGGATGCCTTTGGTGGCGGAAAGGGAGGTTGCTCCGAGGTGGATGGGAGAGTGGAGAGAGGGTGGGTGGGGAACTTAGAGAACAATGAAGATACACCATTTAATGGTGGGGCAGGCGGCCCACACTGGCCTCCCATTCTGGCCTTCCTGTCTCCCAGGTACTCCAACCTGGATCTGAAGTCCCAGGAGGCCTATGAGATGGCTGTGCAAGGTGTGATCCGGCCCATGAACAAGTCCCCAATGCTTATCTCTGGCATTCGCTGTCTGCACTTTGCACCTCCTGAGTTTCTGCTAGGTAAGTCACCCAGGAAGCTGGAGTGATATGATGGAGCCTGCGTTTGGGTCATGTGTGGCATGCCAAAGCCAGCATACACAGACAGCCTTGATTGGCTAGCCATGGGTGGTCAGCCTAACTCAGAGTAACGGCACAAAGGCTGCCCTCTGCCTCCTGTCTTCCCAGGCCTCTGAAGCCAGTCCTTAAGAGCAGAGGCTGGATCTAGCAGCTCATTCCTAGAGCAGGTCCACATTGCTATAGGCCCCTTGGACACTACTGTCACTTCTTGAGTCTCACCCAGCTCTACCCCAGCCCCTTCCATGTTCTGTTGACTTCTTCCCTGAGTGCTGACCAAAGCCCCTGGCAGTAAGCCCTACGTGAAAGCACATGAGTAGACCAAGTATCAAAGCAGTGCTGCCGGAAGCTGGGAGCTGCAGTCTGACCCAGCAGGGGTAGCTGGGGCCTGTGATCTGCACTGCCGCCGTGCTTGGGGCCCTGCAGCAGAGCTAAAAAGCATCTCTTGAAGGATGTGCCTTGTGGAGAGGAGTCCAAGGGATAGGAATCCAGGTCAGCTTGGTCCCTGGAGCTGCTCCTGACCGTCATGTCTGTCCGTGTCTGTCCCACAGAGGTGCAGTGTATGCATGAGACACAGCAGCAGCTGAGGAAGTTGGTGCATGAAATCGGCCTGGAGCTGAAGAGCACTGCCGTCTGCACACAAGTGCGGCGCACTCGGGATGGCTTCTTCAGGCTGGATGATGCCCTCCTGAGAACCCAGTGGAACCTACACAGCATCCAGGCTGCCGTCCGGGCTGCGGCCCCCCGTGTGGCAACAGAACTGAAAAAGAACTTGAGCCTGCGGTTGGGCCACCAGCAGCTCCCTAGTGCTGGGCAAGCCTTGGGGCTTTAAGGGTCCAAGCTCCACTTTGGAGATGGAAAGCTGTGCAGGGCAGTGACAGGCCAGGCAGCTGCCCAGATGTAGGTGGGCAAAGACAGGCTCGGCACAAGTCAGAACTGATGACTATGCAGAGTGAGATCAAGGCCCTGAGCAGTGTCTTGTCATCCAGCAGAACAAAAAAGTAAGAAAGGAAGTCTTTCTAGAGGAGACACAGAGGAACTGCAGATGTGAGCTGAGTCATCTCAGCTATTTGGGAGGCTCAGGCTAGAATCTTGTCAGTTCAAGGCAGCCTACCTTGTCTCAAAAAGCCAAACCAGAGCAGGGCACAGTGGCACACACCTGTAATCCCACTCAGGAAGGCAGAGGCAGGCCGATCTCTGATTTTGATGCCAGCCTGGTCTACAAAGTGAGTCCAGGGTAGCCAAGGCTAGAGAGAAACAAGCAAGCAAATAAACAAAAAACACCAAACCAGAGTCAGCCATGATGGCTCAGGCCTGTAGTCCCAGTGCTTAGGAGAGAAGGGAAGATGAGGTTAAGGCCAGCCTGGGCTGTCTCCAATGTTCAGCTTTTCACACAGGTGGGGAATAGCGCCTCAACACTTACTGACCATTGGTGATGTACTTAGATACATATGACTGATTACACACTGTTTCAAGATGGTGTCTCATACCTGTGATCTCAGTACTACTCAGCTGAGGCAGGAGGATGGTTCTAAGTTTGAGGCCAGCCTGGACTACTCTTTCTGGAGTACTTTGTATTGCATCAGTATTAAATCTGTAGTGCAAACCAGTAACCATCGCCCGGGTTGGGGAGGCAAGAGGATCTAAATTCAGGGTCATCTTTGCCTATGTAATAAATCTGAGGTTACATAAACCTGGCCCTAAGACAAAATAAGAAGCCCCAGAATTACTTTTAAAAGGTTTGTTTTTATGCCATTGAGTGTTTGCATGAGTGCTGTTGTATGCACCCCATGCCTCATGGAGGCTAGAAAAGGGCATCAATGCCTGGAGCTGGAGTCAGCAGGCAGTTGTCAGCCACCGTGAGGGTGCTGGAATGGAACACTGGTCCCCTGGAAGAGCAGCCAGAACTCGCAATCTTAACCACTGGCCCGTCCCTCCAGCTCCCAGAATCTCATCAGCTGTACGATGCAGTAGTTTCTTGTAGCTGTCCAGTATCCTGACTGAACAGTTATAAGCCATTAGTTCGTGTCTCCCTGTGAAAAACCGCAAATAAAACAGTAACATGTGTAAGGAGTATTGCAGAGAAGACACAAAAGAGATGTGTTTTTATTTCAGAAAAACATACACAGTGTTTTGATTACCTCTCCAACTCTTCCCAGCACACCCCCTCTCAACTTCAAGGCTTCTGTTTTTTATAAGCCCCTGAGACCAATTAATGTTGGGCACACACATGGGCACAGGGCCAGCCACAGCTACCAGGGGCCACACCCTGAAAAATTCTCTCCTCCAGCAGTCCCCAGTCACCTAAAGGGCCTCCAGGCGGGGGGTTCCCATGAGCTCCTCCATCCTTGCTGGGATGTTGACTGGCTTACTCTTGTGCAAACAACCACAGCTGCTGTGAGACTATGTCATGCCCAGAAGACACTTTCACAGTAGATGAGCAAGATAGTAGTAGCTTCTGTGCTAGGACTTCTGACCTACTCAGCCATGGGTTCTGGCCAAGTTTACAGTGGCAGGCATGAGTTCCTCCTGTGCAGTAGGCCTTAACTCTGAACAGGAAATGGTTACCTCCATAATATTAATGCCACTGATTGCATTACTAGACATGTATCTTGCCAAGATGGTCTTTTATTGCGGCTATGTGTAAGACTTGGTTGGCTTTTCTTCCCCAACAACCTGCATAGTGCCTTCCAGCACTATGAAGGGAAGTTTCCAGGTCTGGTCTAGTTGGATTTCATGTGCTTTGACCAAAGTGGTGTCTCCAGCAACATGTTCTGGTGGGTAACCGAGAGCAGTAGCATTAACTTGTACTGTTTGGGGCAATCTCAGGGACCACCCTGACAAAGGGGGCATCCCACCCTTGACACAAGCATTTACCTTAATAATCCATGGTTTCTGGGACAGAGCTTTATCAAGACAAGTTTCTCTGTGTAGCCCTGGCTGTCCTGGAATTTGCTTTGTAGACCACGCTGGCCTCCAACTCACAGAGATCCACCTGCCTCTGCCTCTCTAGTGCTGGGATTAAAGATGTGTGCCACCACACCTGGCTTGCAGCTCCAAGCAGTAGGTGCACAGCAGGCTCGTGGCTAGACCTCAAACACTCATCTTCCCCATTCATGGAATGGAAATAATGACTTCACCCGTCTTTCAAGGTTACTGTGAGCAGGTAGAATCAAGTGTCAGATGATACAGTCCAGCAGATGGGAGCTGTATATATTGTCTTCTAAGTGCTGGCTTCAGAGCCAGAACAGTGACAGCAAGATCTCGAATCAGGTCTTTCCTCCACCCCTTATTTCTGTGGTGTAAATGATCTGCCAGGTAGATTTTTGATAAGTAGAACCTCAGCCAGACAAGCTGATAACATAAGTCATACTGCTAGTGTGTGTAACCAGGGGCCCCTTCTGCAATCCTTCCAATGACCCATGACCTCTGTCTTATCATCACTAAAGGAGAGGCTCCAGGGTCGAGGCAGCAAACAAATTATCTGACCAATGTCTAAAGCAGGGACAGACTAAGCAACCGTCCCAGCCAAGAGGAGCCTAAAGCCAGAGTCCAGCATCTCCTGGGTGAGGCTCAAGAACAGAACAAAGATAAGGAGACACAGCTGAGGAAGTGGGATTGATGATGGACTTTGACTGGCAGTGCTCCACAGATATGCATTCACAAGAAACCAGGCACCTAGGCGTGAAAACTCTGTCCTATCAATATTTTCTGAAAGTAACATAAGGAAATTAAGTTGCTGGATGTGATGACATGCACCCTCTACTCCTGGAATTGCAATATAGTTGAGTCAGAAGGGCCGTGAGTTCAAGGCCAGTCTGTCCTTGTCTCCAAAAAACATCTGTTGAAAACCTGCCTTAGCCAGCAGTTAAGACCACTGTCCGCCATTCTGGAGGACCAGAGTTCGGTTCCCTACACCCATGTTGGGTGGCTCACACTGCCTGTAACTCCTCCAGGGATGCCCTCTGGCCTTAGGTTCCTACACAAGTGGCATAAGCAGACACATACTGCACACATACACAGAAGTTCTTTGTTGAGGGGTTGGAGAGATGGCTCGGTGGCATGTGCTGCTTTTTTGAAAGTCTTGGGTTTGGTTCCCAGCACCCACATGGTGGTTCACAAACATCTGTAACTCCACTTTCAAGGGATCCAATGCCCTGTTCTAACCTCTTTGGACAACAGGCACACTGGTGTGTACATATATACATTCAGGCAAAACAATCATACGTATAGAATAAATCTGTGAAAAATTGTAAAGTCCAGTATGATGGCACATGCTTTTAATCCTAGCTCCCAAAAGGCAGAGGTGGGAAGATCTCTCCGAGTTCAAGGCCAGCTTGGTCTCCATGGCGAGTTCCAGACCTACCTAGGCTACACACTGAGACCTTGTCTCAAACCACTCCTTCCTCCCAGCCCCCAGCCCTGGCTCTCCTAGAACTTGGTTTGTAGATCAGGCTGGCCTTGAATTCACAGAGATCTGTCTGCCGCTGCCTCCGGAGATTAAAGTCATGCACCAGTATGTGACCGGTTATGCTTTATTTTGTTTTTATCAAAATGGAATATATAATTTGTGTATGCAGAACATTGCAACTTGCTTCTTTGATTAGCAATAATGTGTGGTTATTTTCCATCAGGCCCAGGCTTCCGCTTATGCAGAGTCCTACAGGGTGATGAGAGAATTGGGCCATTTTGAGAAAGGTCCTATCTAGGTGGTTCTGACCTCTTCCTTCATTGGGCAACTTCCTTCCTATTGAGCAACTATTGCCCGTAGGTTGAGGTCGACTTTCTCAAAGGCCTGAGCTCCAGTAAGTTTTTGCAACACCACTGGACAAATGTTAGTACTTACAACTGTTGTGGGCTCTGAGAATACGTAAACACGTGAGAGACAGCTAAAACCCAGGGCAGAGGGGAGAAGATAGCAGTGTTCAGTAGTCATAAAAATTGATAAAAGGCCAGGAGACAATGAGGGACAGAGCCAAGGAGTTCAGAAGGTTATTCATTGGGGAAAGGCTGGGCTAACTGTGGAGTGGTTCCATTTCTGGGAATCAAGGATCAGCTAGGCCTTTAAACCTGATGGGCAAGTGTTAGCTGACTTAGAAGCCCTGATGACCTGCTTTGGGTTCTGTGCTTTTGACTGAATGTCAGCCCAGGCTCTGAGCTAGCCTGACCGCGGTCTGCTCCTTCAGAGGGTCTGACGCACTGGACTTCACTGATCTTGTTATCGGCAGGCTGGGGTGGTGTGGAGAGCCCAGCGAGGACACTGTGATTAGTAACACTGGCTGTCATTAACCGAGGGCTTCGGGCGGGTGTGTCATGTTGGTTATTCACCCCTTCTCCGGAGCAGAAGATGTAGTTAACCTCAGTTTAACCCGAATAGGACAGCACAGCTTCAGCTCGGAGCCCTCTGGATCCCAGCAGAGTGATGAGCAAGTCCACTGGGTGCGCAGCCTCAGCCAGTTTGCCATGAAGTCCAGGGAAGCTATACACAGTGATATCCACTTGCCCTGTGATCCTGTAGACAGGGGACACAGAACAGGGTTTGTTTTGGTCTCATAATATAGCCCGATTAGCCTCAAACTCCTGGTTTCAAGTGAGCCTCAACTGCCTTCCCTTTAACCCACTGAGGCAGGACCTCTCAACTGAACTCAGGGCTCACCAATAGCTGGCCTGTGTAGCCAGCTGCTTCCAGACACCTGTCTCTTGGCATTGTGAACACTGGAATTTCAGGCACGCTGCCATATCCACGGTGTGGTTCTGGGGTTCTGGGGATCCAGACTCTGGTCCTCACCTTTGCTGCTTTGGCAACAAGCTCTTTAATTGCTTGGACATTTCCCCAGTCCCTAGACTTTTTTGACTGATTGACCTGGAACTTTCCGTACAGACCGGACTGGCCTCCAACGCTGCCTGTTTCTTCCTTTCTCAAGTCCTGGGATGAAAGGCATATGCTGTCACAGCCAGGGGCCATTATGATGGCTCTGCAGGTGAAGGCCCCTGGCTGTGAAAACTCGATGAGCTGGGTTCAGTTCCTGGAACCCATGGTAGAGGGAGGACAAAGGCATTTCTCTACTACGCGTACATGCATGTGGCTCACTGTCACTCAAGCCATAAGTAGAAACAAGTCAAGAAAACTCTAGTTCTTTCTGTTACAAAGACCACAAGCAGGGGGACAGAGAGATAGCTCAGCGGTTAAAGTGCTGGCTGCTCTCCCGAGGGCCCACATTGGGTTTCAGCACTTCCATTGGGTGGTTCACAAACTCCTGTAACTCCTGCTGCAGCTGGTCTGAGCCGTCTTCTGGCCTCTGAGGGCATCTATACATATGTGTATGTACTCTCACGCACACAATTTAAAAAAAAAAAAATCATGAATAATTACAAAAAAAAAAAAAAAAAAAAAGGAAAGAAAAGGAACACCAGCAAATACATTAGCAGACTCATGCACCTTCCAAGTCTCATGTAGCCCAGGCTGGTCTTGAGCTCGTGCCTCAGTCTCCCAAGTGCCAGGTCAGTAGGTGCACCACCAGCCTGTTTTAATGTCTGTTTCCCGTCACCTGGAACTTCACCTGTGCAAGCCCAGGTCTCCTTTCTCTGACAGCTGCTCTTCCTTAGACCAGAACTTGGGGAAGGAGAGATGGCTCAGGGGTTAAGAGCACTGATGCTCTGTGGGAGACCCAAGTTTGGTTCCTAGCACCCACATAAGACAGCCCACAGCTACCTGTAATGCCGCTCCAGGGAGAGCTGATGCCTCTGGTCTCTGTGGGTGCCAGGACCCATGTGTACAAGACATGTACACACAAACACGCTCATAACTTTAAAATAAACTTTTAAAAACTTGGTGAATGAATGAACAAATGAATGAAGCAATAAATCTGAATAGCCCCTGGATACCTGTGGCTTCTTGTCTTCCTCAGCCCACTCTGTCTCAGGTCTCTGTAGCTCTAGGCTGTAGGCTCATTAAGATCCCTGTCGTGGCCACTGGGCCACCACATTGCTGCCATCTCAACAATGAGCTGACATTTACTAGTGTCTATGTAGTCATTAAGGCAGCCTGACGTGGCCACCACAGGCATCTTTTATAGATCAAGAAGTCAGGCCTGGTGAGATGAAGCCATCAGCACTGTCTCTACTCCGTGCTCACCAGTGTCTTCAGCCACAGGCAAAAAAGCAGTGTTAGTGTCTTTTCTCAATGTGACAAAAGGCCTGAGAAAAACAAACGTAAGAGGTGGCCACGGTGGCCACGGTGGTGCACTGTTGGCCTTCAAGCCCAGGCACTCCAGAGCTGAGGCCGGCTGAACTCAGAGCTTGAGGCTGTTCACAGTGAGACCTTGTCTCAAACAAACAGCTTAGGCAAAGGTTTGCTTCTGTTCACAGTTTGAGGGTGCAGGGTCATCATGGCCCAGGAGGTATCGGTGGTAGGACTGTGGGGTAGCTGATCATATGCTCGCGCTCATCTTCTGTCTTGGCTCCCCCCTGCCCAGAGCAAACGGGATGGAACTGCCCACATTCATAGTAGATCTTTCATTCCTCCGATGAATCTTTGCAGAAACACCCCTTTGGCCACAGGCCCGTTTCTATGATGTTCCTAAATCTAGCCAAGTTAACAAGATTAACCATTGCTTCAAAAAGGATGGCCCATACCAGTAATTCCAGCATTCAGGGGTCTCTGAGTTGTGTAGGTTTGAGTCCATTCTGGGCTACACAGGGAGGCAAGTCTCAAAAAACAGAGAAGCAGCCAGGTGGTAGTGGTGCACACCTTTAATCCCAGCACTTGGGAGGCAGAGGCAGGTGGATCAGTGTGAGTTTGAAGCCAGCCTGGTCTACAAAGTGAGTCCAGGACAGCCAAGTTTATACAGAAAAGCTCTGTCTCAGAGGAGGAGGAAGAAGAAGAGCAAACACATCCATATCCACCATGTCAGCACCCCACTTATCTGCAAGCCTCTGCTCAGCCTGACTGACTCCCACACACACTTCCATTTTAGCTGGAAGTTCAGGCCTTTTCCCAGGGATGGGCTGGGTGACAGGAGGGTAGCCATTAGTCATGCCTAAGGTCTGGTCTGGCAAGGATGGTGGCTGAGGAGGCTGTGGGGTGTGGAGGCTGAGAGACAAGCACCTCAGGTGGGTGGCCAGGGTGTGGCTAACCAACCCAGTGGTCCTCACCTGGAGCCTCCCAAGCACCCCTGGAATCTGCGGAGCAGGTTGTAGTGCCACTTCTGACCTCCTTTGTGTACTTTTTGTAGTCCTGGTAAATCAGAAAACTGAAGAGCCCAAGATGACAGAACCCGCCCAGCTCTTCCCTGGCAAACCAGCTGGGCAGGTTCGCTGATGCCAGGGGGTGGGAGGTGGAGCAGGTCAGCTCCAGGGACAAAGGCAGCCAAGCAACACCTGGGCCCCATAGGAGCATGGGGGCAGCTCACTCACATTTTTTCTGGGTTATGGAGAACTGAGATGGTGCTGGCTCTCGGGATCAGGCACTATTGGCTTTGGGGGTGGGTGGGTTCTCGGGAGGATTTGTCATTATTACTGGTGTTGACAACCAGGCACCAGGGAACATGCAGCAGAGGTGAATGATGCCATCAACACTTAGGGAGACAGCCTGGTGGCAAGGTCTGTATTCTCAGGTACTCAGAAGGCTGAGACAAGAAGATCATAAACTCAAGACCAGTGTGCATGGCCGAGTGACTTCAAGGCTTGTCCAATCTTCAACATAAAAGTGAAAGAGGGGTGGAGGCTTAGCCCAGTAGTAGAGCATTTGCTTGGCAGGCAAAAGGCCTTGGATTCAATACCTACTACCACAAAGGAATACTCACAGAGGCTGGCTTGGTGGTATAGGCCTGTAGGAGGCTGAGGCAGGAGGATCACACATTCAAGGCCAACCGGGGCTACAGGGTGAATTCAAGGCCAGCGTTGGCAATTTAGCAAGATGCTATGGCAAAGAGAAAATTAAAAAGAAGCCTGGAATGTATCTTAGCTTGCCTATCACAGGTAAAGCTGGGGCGATGGCTCAGTAGTAAAGTACTCTGCTATACAAGCTTGAGGACTGAGTTTGGATCTCCAGCTCCCGGGTAAAGGTCAGATGTGGCAGCATGCACCTGTGATGCCAGTGCTGAAGGGTGGTGACAGGTGGGCCACTAGAGCTTACTGGCCAGCCATCTTAGACTTTGACTCAAAAAAGAAGGTGGAATAGCCACTCTGAAGACTTTGATGTCAACCCCTGGCCTCAGCTGTTCCTGCATACACGACACATAATCATACACACACACACACACACACATGCACACACACACCAAAATAAATCCTCAAAAAAAAAATTATGGTGTGCGTGCAGGCTTGCCTGTGTGGGAGCATATATAGACAGGAGAAGTTGGCACCCTGGACCTGGGGTTATAGGCGGTTGTGAGCTACCATGTATGAGCTGGGAATCAAACTCAGTTCCTGTAAGAGCACCCAGAACAGCCAGTGCTCATAAGGACCTAACAAAGTCATGGATCCTTCCTTCTTCTGTGCCCTCTTCCCTTAGATGGGAACCAGGCATCTGGATGTGGTTCCAACATTTAGGAGATTGAGGCAGGAGGATGAGGAGCCAAGGCCATCCTGTGCTACATGAGAACCTGTCTCA